TAGAAAATTTTCGATGAGTTATACATGTATTCCGTAGTTAAAGCTGACAGACTGGTTTTTAAGTGCACTGCACATGCCAACTGATTCCCCGTACTTCAGACGATACAGATTCGTGTGGTATAACGATGAGAGGCTAGAAGGAGTTTCCGGAAAAATGAAAGTGAAGTAATAGGAGGAACAAGCAGGATTGTTCGATTCTGAGTGTTGAGCACCCAGCGGACAGAATAAACGGACTCATGGTGGCCCAACAAAATGATTTCACACAATACACCACGCTCAGTTAAGTAAGTTCACAAGAATGGACTTTTATGAGAAGACAGTCACTACAATAATAGGGGTCGGGTGATCGTGATCGATTGTGATTTTCTCCTTTTACTTCGACGTGAAATATTGTGGGCAGCTCAATCCAGATTTCATCTATGCTGTGAAACAGCCTAGAAAAAGTTATCAATCGAATCTACCAGTGCATATCAATAAAACTGTGACCGGTATATCATCAGACCACATTCGTGGAACGAACAGAAGTGATCCTGCTGACGTCTATTACTAGGCCAACTATGTAACGCAGGTTAGGCGATCGTCCCTGTTCTAAGTGAGTCAAACAAACAGGTTTGTGTTTCCGTTGGGAGCATCAATTCGTCAGTGGTTAATTCCCGAACACAGCCAACACTACAAGTGTGGCTGTGTAGAAACCTTCGAGTGAGTGTGAGTTTATTACAAAGCTGTTTTGGCGTAGACGCTCTGCAGCTTAATGATATAAACTGATTGAACAGATCCATCCTTGGATTAGCGAAGTGATTAGAATTGTTTATGTTGGTGGAATGTGACTGTGCAACACGGTGACAAAAAAGTCCATCCAACAAGGAACGATTGGTCATAGAATGTGCTCAAAAGGTTCGACTGATCTGTGACCAAACAAGAATCTTGATTATTCTGGAACGCATGTTGTTGACAGCGGGTTGAATGCTAATCAAACATAAGTGTTAATTCTCTTTCATTTTACAAATCTGCTCGTATCAAATAACGGATTAACATCCTCGTTATTTGGCCGTCACCTAAGAAACTAGCGACGTCATCAATTCTGAGTTGTACTGAGTTCACGCAGTTTCTTTTTCAGTATACGAAAAACTGAAGACTGGTAAGCTGGCGATTGCGTATTAGTGTGAATTGTGAGTGTGTAACTGAGGTTACGAATAGTCGAACCGTAGTAACGAGAGCAGGGCAAACTATGATAGCTCCGTAACATTTAGAAACACAAAATTGATTTGGCCGTAGTGCCTGGATTGATGAGTTACTCGTAAGGAAACTTTCGACTTAGCTTGTGCAATTATTTACATCATTCAACCGAGTTGGTAATACCTTTATATACATATATATCAGACAATACAGCCACTGGAACACGCACGTGTTATCTGGTGCAATAACTAACATTTTTGTCAATTCGATGGTCTTTAATCTACATGAAAACACATGGCATGTTACTAACCTCTGTGTGGAAATCTTACTAAAACTATACCAGTTATGTTACGGCGTTGGTGAGGATCATTACCTTTTGCTGACTAAATCAAGCTTGATATACTTTCGTGACCTTCGGTGCAATTAAAATCAGTATTTGTAGACATGGTGTTCATTTGATTATATACATGGAGATGTTTGAGTAGAGTTGTAAATTCAGAGGCGTTTGTAGCAGATGCTTGTAAATTCAAAGAACAACGGTAAATTACATCTGGTGAACTGGCTGAGAAATGTACCGTAAGCATATTCAAACATTGTGTGTTTGAAACACGAGGACTTCAAGATTTTATCAACAAACACGTAAAAACCTTGCAAACGCAGCTTGTAGGCTTGATTGTATAAAAGAGCATAAACTATTTCCATGTATCAGTCCGATTTATCCAAAGTCGTTTATTTAGCTTGGACTTTTCGTGCACGTTGACTTTGATCGTAGTGGTCTGCCTTGATTGTCAACCAAATCCCACCAACCGGCAAAACTGGGAAAAAAGCGCTGTCAATTTTCACCCACTGAGGTTCATCTTTTGAGATGAAAAGAACCATAAGTTTCAATGGTTCCCAACAGACATCCACAATTACATGCAACATTTTTAGATGTGCAAAATGGTTACTTCGGTAGTACATCGTTCTGTGCAACTGAATGCCGGTGATTGTACCAAACAGTGAAGACAGTTCATTGAAGCGAGGAACCATTTTATGATAGTTATATATTATGCCGGATTGCAAACCATGATTGACTGAATTTGTCCGAACAATTTAGAAGTAACGTGACTAAATTTTGCAAGACTAGGACAGGCTGACATTACACAGCTTTCAACCCATTATATCTGTGTAACCTATCCAGGGTGTTTTCCCCTGTAGCACAAAAATCATGCAATTCAGCCGGTAAGATTCAATTACGGTAACTCACGTAAGCAATTTGTGAAAACGTTTGCAATAACTAATTCAGCCTTCAGTAATCGTATGCCGGACGTGTTCTGATTGACAGGTAGATGTTCTTTGGAAGAGGTACTTAAATACGTAGCAAAATTAAAAACCCCAGAGAGGTCGCCGTGAAATAACGGTGTCAATCATAATGACTAGTACGCAGTTTATCGATATAAACTTTAAGCTTGCAGCAAACAAATTTAAACTATGAACACAAAGAAAACGCCTAAATGCTTCTTTATATGTTGTGAGTGGTAATTACTTGCTCGCGGTGGGTGAATCAACTATGAATCAAAAAAGTTATCAACAATCGCTATATTCTTTTCACTAGCAAATAGCCCGTGCAGCTCAAATCATGACTGGGCAAAATAACGTATTCTACAAATCACATATAAATGATATTGGTTAGTCAATCAAACCTTGTAAAACCGACTATTCTAAGTCTTCACTTCTTCTTTCATATTGGTCGTCCAGGTCTAATTTAATCACATCTAGTAATCCAGATTGGTAGACATTGCATGTTGTTGAGGAACTAAGTTTATCTACCGAAAAGTCAAAACTTCTCAAGTGAACGTTATCTAATTAATACTTCTGCAAGAGTGCTGGCACCACTGACTGCCTAGGTATGGGCGGAATCCTCTAGGTTGAGAACTGTGTACACTTTGACCTAAATCTTTAATGAATCGATTTAGTGCACTAAAACTACAGGTATACAGCTCGTTATGGTTGCTCTCGAGTGCATAGGAGTACATTTACGAGTGCATCCGAATCAATCAGGCGGCATGTTAAGCACCACTCCATATTAGCCTCCATTATACTATGCAACAGTTTGTCAGAATGACTTGGTTTGAGGTTATGACGATCAACTTCGAGGCAGATTAGCATTCCAAGACATATTATTCCCAGCCCAATCTGCCAAATAAATTAACTTCTAATTATCACGTACCGCAATCAATCCGTTATACAACCCATCCTGAATATAACTGTTCTAATTGGTGTGTCTTGATTTGGACAAATTCGTTAGCCGTTTTGTTGTCCTGGAGCCACAAGCTTGTAACGGTGAACATATCACAATATAAATGACGGTGATAAAACTTGGGTTTCGGAAGTACGAATAGGTTCCTTAACACACACGACCGTAGGCCTTCGGAAAAGACAAACATACATTGTCTGATAGGTAAGCCTTTCTAACGTTCTCTCTCACGCCATAAATGAAAGACATTAAAACGTTCTTGCAATAGCCCGGTCTGTGGTTGTTTCCGCGGACGCCCAACACGTAGTGAAGTGACTAATTGATGAAGCACAAATTGTAACTTTTCAGGCTCTCGACATGTCTTCATCGCTTGGTAGTCAGAACTTATGTTCGTGTGGCAAGCGGTTCTTAAGTATCGTTACCATAGAGCCAAAACCTCAGGTTTAACGTTTAGTTCGTTCTCCAGTTATTGAACCTATCCCAGTGCTCATGATTACTACAAACGAGACCAATCTGACCCAATATACCAGACACCACAACTGATTCATAACATCAGTTATTGGATGCAATTATCAAGCCAATAAAATCTAGGAAGGCTGCGATATTTTGAAATTCTAACACTATCGTTTTCAGTTTAACTAAACTACCACTTCAAGGCAACGTAGACTGAATATCTTTCTTCGACTAACTTTCATTACTCACTGTTCATTTTTTGTTGCTCAGAGCTTAAAATTGACAATGGTATGTCGTTTCTTGCAGTCACAAAAACCGATCGTTTACCACCATTGAAAGTCAACGTGTGATTGAAGCTTGACTACGTCACACAATTTTTTTCATATATAGCAGTATGTCGTCTGTCCAACTTTGTAAATCGCAAAGCATTAGGTGCTCTTTATAATGGAAACGATTAGGTAATAGATCCGCTACGTTCTCCAAGTAAATGTCCGGTTTTTGGTAAAAAATGAGATCGGTGTAATGCTACCCTTCAGAACAGTTTATTGCATTTGAGATAAAGCTCGAATCTTGTGGAGGATGTTGACGTGATTCAACCTTGAGATGAAAGTAAGCAATAATGTATACGCAGCCTGCTTCAACGGAAAACATCGACTCGAAGTTTATTAACAACCAGCATATGACCAGTTTAGTAACGATGTAGAGGTAGATCGATGCAAAGTTAGAAATAGATAGGTACACTCACTCAAGTGATAATCTTGGTCTGTTCAGTGTGGACGAATTATCAGTAGCCGACCTTAACTTGATGATTGTGATGGAGTGTAGTTTAGACGTATCCAGAGCATCTCATAAAATTTCAAATCAATCATCACCCACAATTGATCACAGCTGTCACATGCTCATATACTTGAAATTAACGAAACCCTTGACTACGTATCAGTAATCTAAAATATCGTCCAGCAGCCTTATTGAGATCGGAGAGTTCGACTTGTCTAGGAAGTCCTAATCGCTGGGTTATCGATTGGAGTACACAGACAATAACTGTGTCTCCTATCGAGACGACTGGGCAACCTGATCATTACTCACAAGCGAGAGTTGTGTTTATATAGGATAATTCGGCCGTGCCTAACGTAAGGCCAGTGGCGCAGTGGTGAACACGGTTGTCTCATGAACAGCGTGGCCCTGGTTCCAGTCCAGGCATTGGTGAGGATATGCACGATCTCTAATGAGATCCAACCTCGAGTCTAGTGATACTGGTGTTCGAAGGAAGTCGACTGGAATATCTATGGGAATGGGACAGCTGCGATCAATTGTGGCTGAAGTTTAACGTGAATTTAACGAACTCCCGACTATTCTTCGGTAATCTCATAAAGTTGTTACGGAACGGGACACACCCACAAAGTCATGGCAGACGCATAAGAAATAACAGTTATGAAAGAGCATTATTCTTTTCTGTATTCACCTTGAAAGATTTAAATGAACTAGATTATGGCTCTATAATTCTCTTACGCTGATGTTTTATGCAGCTAAAAGTGAGTTCCACTGTATGGCTGCAATTTCGAACCACATATGACATAGAAAAGTCGTTAATAACGGAACTGTAGACAAGTGTGTGTGTACAACATTCATACGAGGCTGGCAAAAGAAACTTAAATATTACAGGAGATTTTCCCACCATTAGTTAGCGTTTATACAGGCACACACGGTGTTTTTTATTCGTAACGAGAAGAATATCTGAGTTGAAGCCCTAGTAAATTTCTGGTGAATTTTCTCCTATTTAGAAATGTACGCTAGCATACTTAGAAGCTAAAAATCAGTAATCCACGGTTTGCTGGTATACCACTGTTCGTAATATATAACGAATGTACACACTGAAAAAACGCTGTGGTTTACAGACTTCATTACGAAACTTGTGCCCATTTGGAATAATATTCCTGTCTGAAAATCTGGTAAACTAATATAGATGAACGAACTACTGATATTGTTCTCATGAACTTCTTACAGTTTTTTGCACGCAACCATTTCAGTTCCGGCTTTATTTGTTTGATCGGAATAAAACAGACTAATAAAGGTCACATTGGTTGTTGAAAAGACATACGAATGAACGCAGATCATCGAACGGGAGTTCTCAAATACGATTGGTTATATGAAACAGTGGCACGAACAGGATTGTATAACTTGGCTGTTTCAGAAGTGATTTGTTTACGAACACTGGCAAGTTGACAGGGCACTTGTAGAAATTGCAAAGTCCAGTAGAGGTACAATTTCATATAAATGAGAACCAACTGCGCACACGCATTTGTCATGATCACGCGACTAGAAAAAATGTCTTGCAAAAGTTGTGGTAAATAATCACATAATTCGTTATGAAATTATTAAAAGGAGTTTATGTGTTTTGTTCTGGGAAATAGAATAACTTCATACCTAATCGCTACATTTTCCGCTTCTCCAATGGTAAATGTTACATAACAATAGGATGCTCGTCATATTCTTGTGTCTACCTATTCTGTAACTTTTGTATAGGCCTATCCAGAAGCTGCCTCACTTAGACGGTTTTATTTTAATCCAGTGATCTTTATTCGCAACAATAAGGTCCGTCTCAAACGACAACACACGAGGATTCGACCTATGTCTACTTGCCAGAGCAAGCGCACGGTGCACATGTACATTTCTGTTCTTGTTGGACCGTAGAAAAAGTGTATATTACACTCATACAGCATAGGACGTCTTTTGAGGAACGACACTATTCAAAATTGGGGTAACGGGATATGATTGTTGAAAATCAAGTTGAAGTTAGGGACTAATATAAATAGCCGTCAAGTGGCAACAGATAATTAACAGGGCAATCATCGGCTCAAGGCAACTAGCCATAGCTTAATTTAGAATGATGTCTCTTCGCGGTAATTGAAATAATGATTATCATTCGCAACTTCAAACAACACAATCGGACCCCAAAATTATGTACTTACGCTTAATTTTGATTATGTTGTCAAGAAACGTTCACACGTTGTTCCTTGATGCGCAAACCATAACTTTGAATCTATTATTTAAGCACTTTCAGTTGGTGTCTTGGACTCGCCGATTCACAGTCTGGAGTGAACCAAGTTATGTGCTTTAGAGGATGAGACAATTGAGGTGACACATGATACGTCAGAATAACAACCTGTTCAGTGTCCAAAGCGTACCACGTTGTTTTAAGCTCAGCGAATGACAGTCACATGTACGGTAGAAAATAAAGACAATCTATCCCTGGCATTCTAACAGTCATCCTTTCAGTACGACACTTTTCCCAGATTTTTATATCATCCCAGCCTGACAGCAATAAGGCATTTGTAAGTTATATTATTTTTGGGGCGGTTGATGAAAGCGTTGCCGAATCTAGCCTAGGCATCAACAGACTTAGTCTGAACTTCCAAGTTTAACTAGCAGAAACGGACTGACAGTCAGCTAGTAGAAAGTTAGCAAGAATCTAAGCAAATGGTTTTGGTGACGCATGTAAACCAAAATATAAGCGATCACCTCTTCCTACTGATGAGTGTTGATACATAGGAAGTTTGCGAGTAACTTTATCGCAGGTTCTGAAAGAAGCGCATAATGTAGTGTGAAATTGCTCACATTCATCAATCACCTCAATTCACCGCTTCTAATATTCAGACAAATTAGTCGGGTAACCAACGGAAATCCACTTCTCATTTCGATTAAAAAGAATAGCTTGCTGTGTAATATTGCAAGTAGACGACAGTTATGTTTCCCAAAACATTTGGTATCAGGCTGAAGAATGTGGCAGTCGACATTTGGTTGCAAGTCACTTCGTATGTTCTTCCGTATTAAATAAAATGTCGTATGGTTTTCTTACTTATATTGTGACATCAAGCTTGTACAGAGAATTAATGTGTTCCATAGGAAGATTAACGGTTACTGTCTCACATCAAGGAGTTTGTCTGTTACGGAAGACCACCGATGTATGCCACCTTAATGACATATCTCTGTGGTTACTATACTAAATTCTCTTTCGTAAGTAGATAATATTCTAAAGTGTCCGTTCTTGGATGAAATGCACATGGTAAACAAACGTAAACAAAACAGCAGGGGTTTGTTTAATGAGAAGAGGAATTTCAACCCCAACACTTTCTCGCCTTCTCATTGGCCATATAAAATTCCGGTCCGAAAATCACTCTCATAAGGATACTGAGGGTTTCAGCCCATGAACTTGAAAAATGTTTCGCCTACAGCTTAACTGTAATGCATGATAAGATTTTTCTACATAGGTGACCTGCGTGACTGGTATAATGCCTTCCCTTGAACCTTTTCTGTAATACCGCAAAGAGAAATCTGACAACGGTTTCACTTAACTTGATCTAAGGTTTACACAATAAACTAAGTATCCCAATCCAGTTCTCCTCAGCGTTCTTTTCTGCATTTGTTGTCCTCAGAAGATCGTTTGACGAGACGCCACCTTCTGGAATGGTTCAACATTGATGATATCCGCGTTTGCTAGTTGTCTTTTGAACTACACAGTCATTTCAAGGGAAAACAGTCACTTTTACTATGAACAACCTCACATGAAAAACGCCATACGATGATTTTCGGGTAACGTGCTCAACAAAATGTCGATGACATTTTTAATAAAACACATTTGCCTGGCTGTTTCAGTGTCAAAATATACAGGTTTCATAAGGTGCACTAAAATTTTCACACATTAGAGCTAACAGAAATGATTGAAAGCTTACATTAGGTAAAAAGTCTTGTGAATCCAATATCCAGAAACTGAAATTCATATGCTTTTCACGTTTCAGGTGTCCAGCGATCTCCGCGTAATCAATCATTCATGATAATTTCACTCTTTTGTCCCGAAGCATACATTCATCATATTGCAATGTTGTTTGATAATTAATGCAGAAAGGTTTTACAACTTGGTGTAATATAGTGAAATGTATCCAAAGAAAAACGAAGGACTACTAGAGGTAATAAGTTATTGTAAGCCTGTTCATAGTTTAGAAATAAGTGAGCAGCTAAGTTTAACGCGTATTGTGGTTGACCAAACCTTTTGACACGAAGCAACGATTCCCATTTGAGACAACTTAAAGACCAATTATTTGGGTGAAAGACCCCTGCACGGAGACTGCCAAAAATATAAGCAATCGCGTTCAAGAAAGTGAAATTTCTTAGATGCATTATGCTCACTAGTTTTCATTATTCTCACAGTTAATTCGGCATTTTTTATGTATGGAACAAATAGGCCTCAAAGCAGCATGTACCTTTCTTGTTTTACAGAACTGGAAACGGCCATTCCATGTGAGTTTCCATGATACTTCAAGCAGTGCAAGATACGGTATCACTTCCTTGAGTTTCCCTGCAAACCTGTCTAAGATACTTTAAGAAGACACTAACAAATCGTAGATTTGATAGGTCAGTTTTACAAAAATAAAATAATTGCACTTCTTTCAGTTCGACATTCCAAACCTCCTTAGAAAACAGACGAAACACCTACGTTGAGCGGTATTTAAATTCAGATTTCCTATAAATTACGTACTGCTCAATTTGTGTGAAACAAGAATATATGATTTCGTTCACACAGCGAAAATTCTGTGTGGAGTCTAATGAGTCCATTTTACATTCTGTTGATGTTACCATTGCTAATTAGTTTGACGGATTTGATAATTTAGAAGAGACTCAATTGCGAACAATCTGGACTTTGTATAGATTCGAACACAAACATGTAAAAACATGGTGAATGCTCTACCAGCTGAGCTATGAAGCTACACCGGAAGCCCAGAAATTTCACATTCGAACCTAGTTAACCACCCAACCAACTGTGTCATATGGCGTCCACCAAATGATTCAGCCGATTGACTGCCCAAGCAGGAATTGTCGATCAGTTCATGCTCCAATCCACCAACTCTACCGATAAGCATCGACTTTGAATTACTGAAAAGTGCTCTGGCGGATTTCATAATTTCGAAGAGACCCAAATGCGATGTTATTACTGATAGAAGATGATTTACTGGATATGGTTGATGGATAGTTGTATGGAATAACTTCTAGCTACTCAGTGTACAAACTTTAGGTTGATGACATCGTTGTTCATAATGGTGAATGGTCTTTTGCTTCACCGAGTCCGCATTTATGCTGTATTCACTAAAGCCACACAGCGTGTTGCGAAGCGGTGTCCAATTATAGGTTTGTTCTTAACCGCTCTTATCAAC